CTCGTCCACGTTCCATGTCAAGATGGTGGGAGGTGTACCAGCACTGACTCAAGGGCTCCCGTGCCAGTGCATTCTGGGGAAGACATTCCAGCTACGCCCAGAGCAGCAGTCCCTGTCTACCACATCCAGGGACGCCAGGAAAACGATGTGTGCTTAAAGCAGACTACGCTGCCAGCGGGCAAGGCTACATATGGGAGGAGTAGGACACATGCCCTACTGAATGAGGCAAGCTCACCTGGCACTGGCCACACTGCCGAGGAGACGGGACTGGACCTTACCTAGGGTTCCCTGCAGATCACAGACAGTGTCAGGTCTTGCCAGCAGCCCCAGCAAGCAATTCTCTACTGACCCATCGCCTACCAACCTCCCTGCAGTCCACCCTGCCACCGCCCCACTTCCTTCAGATGGGAGACAAGAAGCTGCAGCCTCACACTTGGTGCTGCTGGCTGGCACTGAAGTCCAGAAAACTGACCTAAACCCACGTGGTGAGATAAACGCAAAGTAATGTACCCATTTTCTTGGGTTATTAGGGAGAAAAATAAGGGAAAGTATCTAGCCGAGTTTATGCCTCCCACGAACCTGAACTGGGAGGAGAAGTGATTCAGCCACAACAGCTAGGAAGACAGAAATAGTACCAAAGTCCTGAGGTCGGAGACAAGCAGCAGGGACCCACAGACCAGGCGCCAAGCACCAAGGTGCCCTAAGAATAGACCTTCAAGGGCCCGGTGCTATGGCCTAGCAGCTAAAATCATCGCCTTGAACACGCCAGGAGTCCATATGGGCGCTAGTTCTAACCCCAGCTGCCCCACTTCCCATCCAGCTCCCTGCTTGTGGCCTGGGAAAGCAGTCGAGCACGGCCCAAAGCCTTGGGACCCTGCAACAGCATGAGGGAGACCTGGAAGAACTCCTGGCTCCTGGCTTCAGATCAACTCAGCTCAGCACTGGCCGTTGTGGCTGCTTGGGGAGTGAATTATAGGACGGAAGATCTTCCTCTGTCTCTCTGTATATCTGACTTTGCAATAAAAATAAATAAATCTTAAAAAAAAAAAAAAAGAAAGAAAGAAAAGCTCCTGACTACACAGGAAGCACCCTGAACTCAAATCACACACCAGACTACAGCAAACCCAGGCTCATTCCTCAGGCTCCCCTCTCCCTCCATGAAAATCTAAGCTGCACGTGCAACATCTTGAAGCAAACACTTTTGTAAAATGAGTTGTCCTCACTCCACACTGCTCATGTTATAAGAACTCAGTAACAGAGAGACTTCAAGCAATTTATGGAAAAACTAAAGTTACATGTGAAGCAGGCTTTAACCTGGCAGTTAAAATGTTCATTTGAGATATCCCATATCACGACCAGTGCCATGGCATGACAGGCTAAGCATCCCTTAGAGGTGTGGCTGTGATTCCCAGCTCCCTGCTGGTGGACCTGGGAGAGCAGTGGGTGATTACCCAAGCCCTTGGGCCCCAGAGGTAGCTCCAGGCCCCTGGCCATGGATTAGCTCAGCTCTGGGCAATGCAGCCCTCTGAGGAGTAAACTGGTACATGAAAGATCTCTTTCTCTCTCTTTGCAACTCTTTCAAATAAAAAATAAAATAATGTGCACTTTTTTTTTTTTTTAAAACAAGAAGATATCCTGGGCTCCAGTTCTAATCCTGGCAGCTCTGCTTCCCATCCAGCTCCCTGCCTGTGACCTGGGAAAGCAGAGGAGGACGGCCTGAGCCTTGGGACCCTGCACCCACGTGGGAGACCTGGAAGAGCTCCTGGCTCTTGGCTTTGGATCGGCGCAGCTCTGGCCACTGTGCTTGGGGAGTGAACCAGCAGACTAAAGAACTTCCTCTGTCTCACCTCCTCTCCATATATCTGACTTTCTAATAAGTTAAATAAATAAATAAATCTTGAGGAAAAAGAGAGATCCTGTATCAGGGCAGTGAGGCTGCATGTCTGGTTCTCTTCTCACTCCCGCTTCCTGCTGATGTAGAGCTGGGAGGCTCCTGAAACTGGCTCACCAGGCTCCATCCCCCATGTGGCAGATCTGGGGCAGCATTACTCAGCTCTTCCACTCACTGGTTCATCCCTGGAGTGAAGGCCTGCAGCGCCTGGAGCAGGCCTCCAGAACCAAGAGCTAGGAGAGGGAGGACAGGGAGAGGAAGAAGGGCAGAGGGAGGAGGAGGGAGGGAGAGACCTCTGCCACACAGGCACTGCTGGGGGCATCAACTGGATCTCCTGCTCCACTTTCCACCCAGCTCCCTGTCAATTCACCTGGGAAAGTAGCCGAAGATGGTGCGAGCCCTGGGTCTCCACCACCACGTGAGAGACCCTGCTTTCTGCCCGGCTCAGCCCTCGTCTGGGCCTTTGGGGAAGTGAGCCAGCACATACAAGATCTCTTTCCTTTTTCCTCTCTTGGTGCACCTCTTGCCTTTCAATTATGCATGGATTTCAGCTTTTTTTGTAGCAAAGTAACTGATCCAGTTCCACAAATTCTCATCAAGGACCAAGCTGTCTGGTGTTCTCCAGGTCACCTCACGAGTCTAAGGAGACAGGTGCTGACCAGAAGTGACAAATTCCCACGGCCCCCAGCAGTGAGGATGAGCAGTGACCAGCAAAGGCCCTTGCCTCAGGTTTGACTGAGCTCAATGAACATCCAGCTCTGTGCCAGGACCCTCCAACATAACATGGAAGAAGGACCCAGTGCCTGCTGCAGCTAGGTCAGCCTGTGAACCCGGAGTTAAGCGGGATAGTGGGAGTCCAGCTCCAGTCTCACTAATTACACTGCTTTGACCTGCTTCCTGTTAATGGTTCTTGGGCCCTGCCACACAGGCGGGAGGACCAAAGGGAGTTCCTGGCTACTGGTTTAGACCTGAGCCAGAACTCACCGTGGCACTCGTCAAAAGAGGAAACTAGGTTCCAAAGTCTAGCACCTCTTAGACTCCTCCCCTCCCACTCCGTCACTCTGCCTTTCAAACAAATGAATACATCTTCAAAAGTGAAAAAGATGAACAACCCACGAGAACAACAGCAACATCGGGAGCACAAGCTCCAACAAGCGTACTCACCCTGTCAGCCAGGCAGTGGTCGCAGACCTGAGAGGCCCAGCCCCGCCTGGGCCTGCAGGCTCTGCCAGCACACAGCAAGGAGAGTGTGGGCGGTGATGGGAGACATCATCCAACCAGTCAAGTGACTGAGACACAGCTGATCCATCAGAATCCTCAAACTGGGCACAGTGACCAACTCAGTGCCTTAATTTGACATAATTAGCTAGGAATACTCCTTTAGCAATGAAGTAAGTAAAGAATGTTTTGCTATCTATATTTAAATCGAATAAAAGCTTCATATCAAAACAGGGCAGACAAGATACGCATTGTGGCAAGAGGGGAAAGCTACTGCCTGCGACCAGATCTCTAACCTTGCCTTTTCAAATAAACAGATCTTAAGAGGGTGGAAAATTCTGGTTGCAAACTGCACTTCCCTCACAGGCACAGATACGCACGCAGGCAGGAAACCGAGTGGCCCTGATGCCTCCTGGTGACCCTAGAAGACAGGGGCCAGCAAGGAACTACCAGTCCTAGCCCTGCGGGGGGCGAGGCAGAATCAAGCTCCACCCTGCAGCTCAAGCAAGAACAGGAACAGACACTGTGAGTGCTGGGCATAGCATGGCCCTTCAAAATGCCCAGCCTGGGAACCAGGGGCACTGACGTGCAGCACATACTATTGTGCTATGAACCTTGCAAGTTCAAAAATGATCAGTTCTACTTTAAATTCAATTGTCCAACTGAAAGTACAAAACACTAACTCCAAGCCTAGTCCCCTATTCCTAACACTCAGCATGGAGAGCAGGCTCAGGCCAGCATGTACAGACACCCCCATGCACACACATCCACGTCATCAGTGCTCAGAGAACTTTCTGGCTATAGCAGTAGGTCACAGCACTGTGAAAGATCTTCTCATTTAGTTAACTTCCAGTGATTCAGTCTGTTGAAAACCTCACACTGGGTACGACCACTGTCATTTCACAGACAGGAAGCTGAGGCTGAGAGAGCTGGCCAGGCACGCCCACTGCCCAGGACGCTGCTGGACCACACGATGGAGGGGGTTGCAGAGTTGCAGGCCTTGGGCCTTCAGCTACCCACACTTGTGAACGATCGAATGGCAGCAGTTAACAAATGACAGACAAGACTCCCAGCACTGCTCTAACCCTACAGGAGAGATGTCGGAGGAGGATGGCGCCCCCCAGCACCGCGCTCGGGAGGTCTCATGCAAAGGAGCATCCAAACCAGACAGCTGGACTCTGCAGCAAACGAGGTGACAAACTAAAGCACGCCTGTGCCAACTGCTGTGACACGTAGACCTGGACAGCACCGCCTCTACCAGAGCCCAGCGACCACATTCCCTCCCACCCGGAGAGCATCTTGACGCTGCCACAAGTGCACTGATGATCTAACCTCCCCCTGACATGGACAGCATTTTCTTCGTTCTCACTGCAGGCGAAGGCCAGGCCAATACTTCCACACAGGCCGAGTGCGAGCTGTTCTGGCCCAGCACTCCCTTCTCTGTGACAAGCCCGGTCACAGAAGCACGGAGCAGAAGCCCTAGGAGGCAAAGACATGGCCTGATCCCACACCGTCAGGCACGCTCAGACCTCCCTGCTCCATCTAATTCTGTCACCAGGAGAAGGTGCACTTCTGGACTGCAGGCCTCCCCAGGAGTGTGGGCGCTTGGCCAGCTCCACGGCCGGCCACACTCTGGCCTCGAGCTGCCAGGAGCCCAGCCTGAAGCCAGCAGGTCCCTCCCACAGCTGGTCCTCACACTCACTGTCCCCACAAACCTCCTTGGCAGGCAAGGCAGAATTCCTCACCTGACTGACCCCATGAAGCTCACTATCCCAGCTCTGACAAAAAGTCAGAACATTTACTTACAACTCTACCAAGCACAAGAAAAACAAGCTGGAAACGTGGACGGCCCAATGAAAACCACGTAAGCTGAAGAGAACGCAGGATTTACCGATTCCATAGCTGAAAGTCTAGGTGACGAGGACACTGTGTTCAATCCACGGCAGGGCGGTGCAGCGTCTGAAACGAGAGGGCAATCAGACAGGGCCCCCTCTTCCTGCCCACCCCGACAGCCAGTCACCACACCAGCCGTTTCCAGGAGGCCTAGCTGGACTGGGGTCTGAAGGGGCTCGCCTGTGCCAGTGGGCTTCTGGGCACCCTCTTCCTCAAGGCGCAGGTGGCAGCAGGAATACCACTGTCTGTCCACAAGAGCCCTCATTTACCAGGAGCTGGCCTTGTTGCCCCAAGCTGAGAACACACAGCTAAGCCTCACAGAAGCCTCACAGCACAAATATCAGCATGTTCTAACATCCTACACGGATCTCGGCCACACTAAAATCAATAAGCTGCTCTGTCCCTGTGGCCGACAAGGCCCCTCCACTACCACCCCCGTGGCCTCCCTGTCCCAAAACACCATCAGAATGGCTCCATGCTTCCTCTGCCTTGTGTTTCTGTGAGCTGGCACTACGGGCAGGATACTCTAACCCCACAAAGACCACCACAGTGCCCTGGGCACACACTCCTCACTTATACTAAACTTAGGGATCATTCCCAAAAATCCAAGAACCACAAACCTCGCCAGATACACTTTGTGTGATCCAGCTCAGAAACACAACACAAGCATTCTTTCCAACACAGGCCACGAGAACTGTGATGACCACGTGGACGTCCAGTGTGCGTGAGGAGCGGATGCACACAGGCCAAGCCCTGAGAATCACACAAGAGCAGGCTGCAGAAACAAGTCCACACACAGGGCTCCACCAGGCTCCAGCTGACCACTCACAGAAGCAAACCCCCTGTGGTATGCAGATCCTCCTGGCTGTATTCAATCAGCTCTAGATGACTTGGTTTTTTGTGTTTTAAAGACTTACTTACTTTTACTGGAAAGGCAGATCAGACCTACATAGAGAAGGAGAAACAGAAAAAAAGATCTTCCCTCGGCTAGTTTACTTCCTGGAAAGCTGCAGCAGCAAGAGCCAAGCTGACCCCAAGCCAGGAGCTTCTTCCAGTTCTCCCACAACAGTGCAGAGTCCCAAGGATTGGGCCTTCCTCCACTGCTTCCTCAGGGCACAAGCAGGGAGCTGGATGGGAAGTAGAACAGTCAGGACACAAACCAGTCCCACATGAGACTCTGATGCTTGCAAGGAGAGGACTGGCCAATTCAGCCATCACCTATGGATGACTCGTAATACCTAAGGAGGCTGGTGCCATAGAACTCGACCGAGCCTGTACCTGCAGTGCTGGCATCCCATATTGGTGCTGGTTCATGTTCCAGCTGCTCCACTTCCGGTACAGCTCACTACTGATGTCCTGGTAAAGCAGAGAAAATGGTCCAAGGCCTTGGGCCCCTGAACCTGCGTTCAGCCATCTGGGAAGGCATCCAGCAGACAAAAGATAGCCCTCTCCTCTTTCTATAAATCTGTCTTCCAAAATAATAAATTCTACTTAGAAAAAAAAAAAAACACTTCATTTTAGTGCAAACTATTTTGTAATCTACGTATGGGTTTTTTTTTTCATAATGTACATTTTTTTTTACAAACTTTCTGAAGAAACTTATGCCTGAATTTATTCTGCATTAAATAAACTTTTTAAATTTCATGTTTCACTTGCTTTCAGAGAGCAGGATGTAACAGCAGCTGTGACATTGCACTGCTGACAGTGAAATCGGTCACACCACTTGCCCACAGGCAGGGACACCCTCTCTCCTGCACAGGAAACACATCTGAATGCTCTAGATTTACTGTGTATGCAGTAAAAAAGCAGAAGCAAACAAAAAAAAAATCATGGAATTAAAAAACACCGGTTCCCTCTGGTGGGAAGGCCCCCAAAAAGTGTTTTAATGTAAAGGAGTGAGCGGGGCCTACACAGTAACTCGATTGGCTAATCCTCTCCCTGAGATGCCAGGTACCCATGTTGGTGCTGGTTTGTGTCCCATATGTTCCATTTCCATTCCAGCTCCCTGCTTGTGGCCTGGGAAAGTAGTAGAAAATGACCAAAGGCCTTGAGACCTGCACCCACATGGAAGACACACAGGAGGCTTTAGATTGACTCGGCTCCTTCTGATATGACCACTTGGGGAGTGAACCAGCAAACAGAAGATAGTTCTGTCTGTCCTTCTCTAAATCTGCCTTTCCAATAAAAACAAAATAAATATTTTAAAAAGATTCCAAATTGACCGTATCTCACCAATTCCTCTAATGGTCCAAGAACTTTCTGAGAGAAGCAGCTGCTTATCTGCTCTGTGCAGTCACCTCCCGCACACACTGCCCAGCCCTGGCCTCCCTAGGCATGGTGCCTGAGACTACAGGGCTATCTTGCACAGGGGAACAGCTCTGCACTACTGTGAATCTGGAGAGGAAGAGATGGCGCAAGGACAACTCGGCTCCTGACAAATTAAAGGAATCTGTCCCTCACATGAAATCACTTACAATTCCCATTTGGAAATCATGCTGCTGACCAGCTCTGCGTGCACCTTCCCCACTGAGGCCAGCAACCAGTCGGGCTCCACAGCAGCTACCACCCCCCCCCACCAGGCCCGGCGTGGGGCAATCCCTCCTCCATTCCACGAAAGCCAGTACAAGAGGTAACAGCCACTGCAGGTTTGTGGCTCACCACCATGGCATGTGACCTGTGTGTGTCTGCACTGGCCATGCCTCCCAGAGCCCAGCTCTGCTGGCTGGCACATCGTGGCATGAGGCGCTGCCGAGCAGCCGCATCTCCTGATCAGCAGCACTGACCACTTCCGGCTCCTGCACTCCACGTGTCCTTTCCCATGGCCCTCCTAACAGCAGTGGCATCTCCACCTCACCTCTGAGAGACTGATGCATTCGTCAGTCAACTCTAGAGCTGGCACCCTCATGGTCACACGTTCTGCCTCACTGTTCCCTGTCACAAAAGGACCTGGAGTAGAGGTTGGTGCAGTGGCACAGAAGCTAAGCCATTGCCTAATGCTGGCACCCCATCTGAGTCAGTTCACAACTCTGCCCTATCTCCAACCTTGCTCCCTATTAACAGGCTGGAAATACAGTGGAAGGTGGCCTGAATGCTTGGGTCCCTGTACCCACGTGGGATCTACACAGCATTCCAGACACCTGGTTTCAGCCTGGCCCAGTTATAGCCATTTGGGGAAGTGGACCAGTAAATCATCTCCCTGTCTCTGTAACTCTTTTAAATACACACACACACACACACACACACACACTCACTCTCTCTCTCTCTCTCTCTCTCTCTCTCTCTCTCTCTCTCTCTCTCACTCTCTCACATGAACTAGTGCCCATATGGGATCCCAGCACATGAAAGGTGAGGACTTAGTTGTTGCGTCATTGCGCCTGGCCCTCCTGCAGGGGACACTGCCTTGAATGGGCCTTGTATTAGTCAGCCCAGGCTTCCTTACATTGTTTCTAGTTTATCTCCATCCATGTTTCTTTTTTTTAATGCCTGTCTAGGGCAGTACCTTCTGCCTCGCTCCATCCCTACTTGGGTCTGGAGACAGTGTCCCTCAGAGCTCAGAGTGCCTGGTCTAGCCCCTGTACTTGTGCCCCATTCTGGAACTGCAGGGCACACCATACTCCAAGCCAGGATCCAGCTGATTTTCCTTTCTCAAAACCAGAAGCCAAATGACAAACCCTGCCAAGTCCATGAGCTAGTGCCCATCTTCCCCGCCTGAGGGCACTGCCCTGGACTCTAATTCAGCTTCAACTCACCATCTTTTCACCCATACTGTCCTAACTTTACTCTCTCCTCCTCCCATCATACACACCACTTTTGGCTTCCAACTCTAGCTTCACGGGAGGAGAAGTGAGTTTGCCACCTCTGACTCACTTTGTATTTATACCCAACTCTGCCCAAACAAGAAACACACTAATGTTTTTCAAAAATACTTTTTCTCAAGCCTGATACAATGGGTTAGTTAGCAAATCCTCCCATTTCAAGCGGTGGGATCCCATGTGGGTGCCAGTTCATGTCCCAGTTGCTCCACTTCCCATCCAGCTCCCTGCCTGTGGCCTGGGAAAGCAGCTGAGGACAGCCCAAAGCCTTGGGCCCTGCACCCGCACGGGACCCAGAAGAGGCTCCTGGCTCCTGGTTTTGGATTGACTCAGTTCCAGCCATTATAGCCACTTGAAGAGTTAATCCACAAATGGGAGATCTTCTCTGTTTCTCCTCCAAGTCCAGCAATGGAGCTGCCCTGTCCCCTCCCAAGAAGCTAAAGTCAGAAGCCAGAACAGAGCACACAGCTGGGGTGGGAGGCGCCCTCACAATGACACCCTAACATCTCCCTCTCCCCAGATGCTCACAGAACCCTGACAGCTCCTGCAAGCCTGCACACATCTCTCTGTGAAGAGTCCAGAGCTTCCAGGCAAGGTGGAAACATCACAAGATGGACAAACAACAATTCCAAAAACATCATCACTAAAAAAGTGCAACCAATGAACTGGAAAACCCATCAAAACTATTGTCTTCAGCAGGAGCACACAGGGGCATCGCCTGCTTGCCACACCCTTCCCTGATCACCAGCAGTACACACATATAACACGGCTCCTCTTCTCAGAGTAATGGAAGAACAACTGTGACCTATCTGGTAGGAATTCCCCAGGTCACTCAAGAGGCAAACAGGTGTGGCTAGAGGCTTAGAGACTAGCTGAGCTGCTGCTTGAAGCGTGGAGACCAAGTTCCAGCCCTGCAGCAATGCCAGTCTCCAGTAGGGGCAGCTGGTGACGGCACAAGCGTGGGAACTGTGCTAAGCCCCAGCACCGGCCCTGTCTGGGCTCAGCCCAGAGCCACCATCAGCACCGGGGGAGTGACCTGCCCTTCTGCCTCTCCAACAGGGAGGAAAAGACATTACAAGCAGCTAAGGGACCAGCACTGTGGAACAGCGCTCTAAACTGCCAAAGAAACTTGAGCAACTGTACTGGAAAGCAAGTGAACCAGTTCCCTGCTGTTGTATCCAGGAAGCGAACAGATGAGGGCATGGGTTCCTCCCGCCCATCTCGGAGACCCCCAAGGAGGTCTAGGCTCTTGGCTTCAGCTAGGTCCAGACGGGCTGTTAGGCCATTTAAGGCATCAACCACTGGATACAAGATCTCTCTCCCACCCTTTCTTCTGTCATTTGGACTCTAAAATAAATCTTTAAAAAGAACAGGAAAATAGAAAAGCACAGACGAGGCACAGGCACTGTCTCGCAATGGCTGCTGAGGCAGAGCCTACAGTGGGGCCCACGGCCCTGTCCAAAAATTCTAAATGACTTCACGTTTTAAATCTCAATCAGAACACAATTCTACTTCCTTCATTACACACTCCCACTCCCGTTTTCTGTAACCACTCCTCCAGGTAACTCAGCTGTGCAGACCCTACTGAGGACATGCTCACTCCATCCGCAGAGCACCACAGCGCCTGCTGAGGCACATCCCACAGCAGCAGCTCCCTCTGAAGCTGCT